TGCAGGCTGGTGACCCCCAGGGGGAGGGCCTTCTCTGTGGGGGCACCCACCCTCTGGAATCAGCTCCCCCCAGAGATAAGGAGAATCCAAGACCTCAGTGCCTTCCGTCGCGCCCTTAAAACCCATTTATTTAAACAAGCCGGGCTGGCTTAAGATGAAATTTTTAACTGTTTTTAAATGTTTTAAACGTTTTTAATTGGTAAATGAGTTTTAATTGGGCCAAATTTATATATCTTTTAATTGTTTTTAATATTTGTTCTGCATGTTTTTTTTAATCTGGCTGTACACCGCCCTGAGTCCTTAGGGAGAAGGGCGGTATAGAAATCCAATATAAAATAAAATAAAAATAAATAAATATTCGGGCTCCAATCTTACTGAGAAAATTCCACTCCCAATACCCTAACAAACCTTGTTAATATACTATCATGAAATCTTGTGTATATTTGTTTTTTTTAGGTGGACACTTTCGCTTTCTAAGGAGGGTAGCATGTCAGATCCCTAAAAGTGATACTGCCTGAATTGAATATTGGAGGAGGGAGGGCACTTGGATTTGATTTACTAGCATTGCCTGTGTCAACAGATATTTTACAACCTATATCCTGGTGCCAAAGAGCCCTGAGATCCCCTTTACCTGCAAGAATTTTTATGTGGGTTGTTTCACTTTAAAAGATAATGGTGGGAATACATGTGTGTTCGGGTTCTCAGAGAAACTAGTAAAGAAAACATCTTCACACTTGTGTATTGGCTACATCAGGGAGTGCGGGAGGACCCCTTGCAAGGGCAGGCTGAGGTTTTTGCACAGTTTTTGCATGATAAAATCACTCAGATTCGGGAAGGCTTGGACTCTGACTGGGTAGATTCCGGCGGGATGGCTGAGGCAGGTCTTGAGAATGTTATCTGGGACGAGTTCGATCCTGTGACTCCTGAGGACGTGGACAGGATTCTGGGGAGGTTAAATGCAACCACATGTTTATTGGACCCGTGTCCCTCCTGGCTGGTACTGGCTACCCGGGAGGTTACGTGAGGCTGGCTCCAGAGGATTATAAATGCTTCTTTGGGGGAGGGTTTCCTGCCGCCTGCTTTGAAAGAGGCAGTGGTGAGGCCCCTCCTTAAGAAGCCTTCTCTGGATCCGGCTGTTATGGCTAACTACCGTCCTGTCTCCAACCTTCGCTTTATTGCGAAGGTTGTTGAGAGTGTGGTGGCGCAACAGCTCCCGCAGTACCTGGATGAAACCGTCTATCTAGACCCATGCCAGTCCGGCTTCAGGCCTGGGTACAGCACAGAAACGGCATTGGTCGCGTTGGTTGATGATCTCTGGAGGGCTCGGGACAGGGGTTGCTCCTCTGTTCTGGTCCTATTAGACCTCTCAGCGGCTTTTGATACCATCGACCATGGTATCATGCTGCACCGGCTGGAGAGATTGGGGATGGGAGGCACCGTGTTGCGGTGGTTCTCCTCCTATCTCTTCGACCGGTCGCAGTCTGTGTTGGCAGGGGGGCAGAGGTCGACCTCGAGGTGCCTTGTTTGTGGGGTGCCACAAGGGTCGGTCCTCTCGCCACTCCTGTTCAACATTTATGTGAAGCCGCTGGGTGAGATCATCCGTGGCTTTGGGGTGTGATGCCATCTGTACGCTGATGACACTCAGCTGTACATCTCCACCCCAAACCACCCCAACGATGCCCTTGAAGTGATGTCCCAGTGTCTGGAGGCCGTGCGGGTCTGGATGGGGAGGAACAGGCTTCGACTCAACCCTTCCAAGACCGAGTGGCTGTGGCTTCCGGCATTCCGATATAGCCAGCTGGCGCCATCGCTGGCTATTGGGGGCGAGTCATTGACCCCCACAGAGGGGGCTCGCAACTTGGGCGTCCTCCTGGACACACGGCTGTCTTTAGAAGAGCATATGACGGCCGTGGCCAGGGGGGCTTTTTATCAGGTTTGCCTGATATGCCAGTTGCTCCCTTTTCTGAGTCGGGATTCCTTATGCACAGTCACTCATGCTCTCGTCACTTCTCGCCTGGACTACGCTAATGCTCTCTACATGGTGCTCCCCTTGAGGAGCACCCGGAGGCTCCAACTGGTCCAGAATGCGGCCGCACGGGTGATCACGGGAGCGACATGGTGCTCCCATATAACACCTCTCGGGCGCGAGCTGCACTGGCTCCCGGTGGTCTTCCGGGTGTGCTTCAAGGTGTTGGTTCTCACCTTTAAAGTGCTCCATGGCTTAGGGCCAGGGTATTTACGAGACCGCCTGCTGCTACCGGCCAATACGCTCCCACCAACCAATACACTCTCACAGAGAGGGCCTCCTCAGGGTGCCATCGGTCAAGCAATGTCGGCTGGCGGCCCCCAGGGGGAGAGCCTTCTCTGTGGGAGCACCGGCCCTCTGGAATGAGCTACCTCCCGGAATACGGCTGATTCCGGATCTCCGCACTTTCCGTAAGGCCCTGAAGACTTTTTTATTTCAGCAAGCTGGCCTGGCCTGAATAGGTTTTATGGGTTAGTTTTTTAATTGTATGGCTAGGGGTTTTAAATTGGGGCGGCCGTTTAATTTAATTTATTTTTAATTATTTTAACTTTTATATTGTATGTTATTTTAATTCTCGGCTGTTCACCGCCCTGAGTCCCTTCGGGGAGAAGGGTGGGATATAAAAAAAAAAAAATAAATAAATAAATAAATAAATAAATAAATAAATAAATAAATAAAATAAAATCTGCATTCTGACTTAAAGGGAGAGGTCTCTACCACTTTAATCCTACTGCCTTGCCTAAGAGTATTCAGATCTTGCTTTAACTGGATGGCTGTCACTTCTGCTTAATAAAAGAAATCCTTTTGAACAACCAAATTTCAAGAGTTCTCACTTTCTTAAGTTAGAAGGAGAGGCGATCCTTACACCTATGATCACTAGCTATGGTCATCCCTAGCTATGGTCATCCCTCCCTAAAAGGGAGACCCCAGCCTAGTTGAAAATTACAGACCAATCTCTTTATGCTGCCTCACCTGCAAAGTCATGGAATCAATCATTAACCAATCCATTACCCTCCACCTAGAAACAAACAAGCGAATATCTAATAAACAATCTGGTTTCAGAAAAAAAATATCCTGTAATCTACAACTTCTACACTGCAAAAACATATGGACTACAAATCTCGGATCAGGGCAAAGCAATAGACACAATTTATATAGATTTCTGTAAAGCCTTTGATTCAGTGGTACATGAGAAACTACTTCTAAAACTAAAATCCTATGGCATCTCCAGACACCTACATAATTGGATAGTGACGTTCCTGTCAAACAGGCAAGTGGTCAAAATATCAAATCCTATCATATCCTGCACCTGTTAATAGCGGTATCCCCCAAGGCAGCGTTCTAGGACCAACACTCTTCATACTATATACATAAATGACCTTTGCGATCATATTATAAGCAACTGCGTTCTCTTTGCTGATGATGTAAAACTATTTAACACCAGCAACAATGCTGCTACCCTTGCTCTTTTCTGCGCAAGCACAGAAGCTTCTGCATATGTGCAGAAGAGTTTTTATGACATCGGGGTCGGTGGGCGGAGCCGGTTTTACTACTGGTTCTATAGAACCGGTGCGAACCAGGGGCAACTCACCACTGAACTGCATCTACATGGAGGGAAGCATGCAGTCAGGTAGCCCAAGGTTCAGTCTTAGGCCCAGTACTCTTCAATATCTTCATAAATGCTCTAGATGAGAGGATAGAAGAGGAACTCATCAAATTTGCAGAAGACACCAAGCTGGGGGGAGGGGGGGGATTGGTAATACTTTGGAAGACAGGATCCAAAAGGACCTTGAAAGATTTGAACATTGAGCCCTATCCAATAAGGTAAATTTCAGGGTACAAAAAGTAAAGTCCTATACATAGGCAAGAAAAACCAACTGCACAGATATAGAATAGGTGGTACCCAGCTCAACAGTATCAACTGTGAGATGGATCTAAGTGTCCTAGTAGAGCACCACTGAAGTGTGAGCCAGTTGTGTACTGCAGCTCCCCAAAAAAGCTAATGCAGTTCTCTGAATCAACAGAGGGATAGTTTCGAGATCATGTGAAATGATAGTACAGTTTTATGAGACCACATTTTGAATACTACATCCAATTCTGGTCACCACAATACAAACAAAGATGTTGAAACCTTAGAAAGGGTGCAGAGAAGAGCAACAAAAATGATAAAGGGTCTGGAGGCTAAACCATTTGATTGAGAAAACGAGGTATGTCTAGTCTAGCAAGGAGAAGACATAGGGCTGATAATGAGAGCAGTCTTTCAGTACTTGAGGGGCTGTTACAGAGAAGAATGAGTCAACCTATTCTCCAAAGCACCAGGGCAGGATAAAATGTAATGGGTGGAAGAAGCTGTAAGTGCTCTACCACTGGAGGTTTTCAAGAAGAGAATGAAGAGCCATTTGTCCAGAATTATATAGAGTCTCCTGCTATGGGCAGGGGGTTGGACTAGAAGACTTCTAAAGTCACTTCCAACCTTATTATACAATGTTCTGTGTCATGGCTTCTCCAATTTGGAAGTTGGGACCTCCTAGTCTCAGTTTCCCCTTCCATGTATTTGATCATTCTGGTGCCCCAGAAGGACCTTGCCAGAACCTATCCCCTCAGTTTCATTTGGTCTTTCCCTGCCCCCCCCCCGCCCAGATAAGATGTTTTTCCCCAAAAAATTGTTGGAGAAATATTTTTACTTGATTGAAGTAAAAGGTTATGATGAGGTACCAGACTAGAATCACTGGGAAACCATGAGTTCTACGTCTGATTTAGATGTGAAACTGGTTGTGTGATTTAAACAATTTATTTGTCAAATTTATATGGCCACCCATTTCACAAAAAAGCATCTCTGGGCAGCATACGATAAGATTAGAATAAAATCAATATATAAAACTAATATTTGTAAAAACAAACAAACAAATAAACAAACAAATAAAGCGTGTATAGACAATGAAGAAAGGTCTGTATTTGATTTCACGGTACTCACACGGACCACTTCCATAGAAAGTTATGAAGAGGAAGATGAGGGCGATGCTGCTGTAGGAAATCCAGGGAGACTGATCCTAAAAGGGAACAACAAGAGCAGGTGGGATTAAAATGAGGGCACACCACCAGCAAAGAAAGTTTAGACCAGACAAAGTTTAGACCCCTCCTATATGATATCTTTTGCAGCCTGTGTGTGGTGGATACTGTGGAATAGGAAACCCAAATTATTCAGCTTACAATTTATTTAGCTGCTGCTGTGATAGTGGTTCTAGCAGCAGAAAATCTTAATAACTCCTATGGAGTATTACCCCTGGATGTCTCTGAATTAGCAGAATGTCAGCTGCTCATCTTCACTTTCTTTGAAGCTCTCTAGCAACTTCCATAATCAAGGGGGAGGAAGGAAGGAAAGTATGCTGTAGGTGTGAAAGAATGCTATGGGAAATTGGGGAGTGTGGACATTAACAGGAACCAGGGGTACCAAACTGAGCCACCTGGTGAGCTTCAAGGACATCAGTCCCGGGAAAGGAATTTACACTGGCGCCTGAAGTTCCCAAAACATCGGAACAAGACCTGATTGGACTGCTCTCCCAGGGGTTTATTGGAGATTGCTTTCAATATATGATTTTTACATGGGTTTTCTTCAGAGCTTGCCTTAGCCACGCTGCATTCAGCATCTCTAGTAAAAGTACCTTTTCTCTAAAACCTATGGGGTCAAGGGTTATTTTTTCCTAGGGAGTAGCTGGGGCAACTCTGACACAGACCTCCATCTCTCCATCAGAATCATCTAATTCTTTTCGGGGCAACCAACTTGAAATGCTATGCGGAATGCTGTGGATGTAGATTTCATCTACACAATGCCGTGCTGTAGATTTCAGCAAGGCAAATTATAAAGCAGACCACAACCTACTTCTTGGTAAGCTAAATAAATGTGGGATAGACAACATCACCACCAGATGGATTTGTAACTGGCGGACAAACTGTGTTCAACAAGTAATCCTTTAATGGTACTACATCTACATGGAAAGAAGTTAAACAGTGGGGTACCAGAAGGTTGTGTCTTAGGAATAGCTAACATAAGGTGACCAGATGTCCCGCTTTTGGCGGGACAGTCCCGCTTTTGAGCAATTTGTCCCGCGTTAAAAAAGGTAGTTATATAACTAATTGATTTATATTAAAATGTTGAATTTGTATTAAACAACTGTATTACATAATTACATAATTAAACAATGTGAGGATGGATATAAAAATAGATGACAATGGAAAGGGTATAATATAGAATAGAAGGGAAAAATTGAATTTGATTAAGATTAGAGATGAGGATGAAGGGTAATATTGTTTTTTAAAAAAAATAGATGAGGAATAAATATGGCAAAAAGGAAATATAGAAATTGTAAATTTAATTGAAATGACTAAACGCTGTTTAAATTTGTGAACCAGCCAAATATTCTGTTCAAAGAAAATACATTGTATGTTTGTATGTGTGTTTCTAATTATTGCTGTTTATTCATATTTGTTCGCTTTTATTCTTTAAAGTTTAACAATTCATTCTTAATCTTAATATCTTTATATTTGCTTGGGGTTGGCTTTCTTCCCTTTCATCTTTTTTATTGTACAGCAATCTTTCTCCTCAAACCTACCACCACTCTCTTTTCTTTCCTTCTTACTTTCTCTTCCCCCCACCCTCTTCTTCTCCTCCCTATTTTCTCTTCCTTTCTCCTTCTCCTCCTCTCTTCCTCCCTCTCTTACCATCACTCCTGCTCTAATTTCCATTCCTTCATCCCTCTCTATTGCTGTATCCTTTAATGCATATGGACTACTCAGAGGGCTGAAAAAGTTATTTTTGACTGGTCCTCACACTTTTGACCAGTCCTCGAACTTATGACTGTCCTCACATTTTACATTTTTGCCCTATCTTGTCATCATGGTGAAGAGAAGCAGTTGTGAAATGAGTGACATGGTTGTTAAGAATGCTGCACGGGCATAAATGTGAGGATGGTCATAAGTGTGAGGACCAGTAAAAGTGTGAGGACCTGTCAGAAATGACTTTTTTCAGCCCTCTGGTTAGTCCTTTTGTGCATATGGACTACTCAGAGGGCTGAAAAAGTTATTTTTGACTGGTCCTCACACTTTTGACCAGTCCTCGAACTTACGACTGTCCTCACATTTTACGTTTTTGCCCTATCTTGTCACCATGGTGAAGAGAAGCAGTTGTGAAATGAGTGACATGGTTGTTAAGAAAGCTGCACGGGCATAAATGTGAGGATGGTCATAAGTGTGAGGACCAGTCAAAAGTGTGAGGACCTGTCAGAAATGACTTAGGTCCCTATACACATAGTCCCTATACACATAGCCATGGCCACCCAGTCACATGACCAGCTAGCCACACCCACCCAGTCACATGGCCTCCAAGCCACGCCCACACAATAAGTCACGCCCACAATGGTGTCCTTCTTACCAATGTTAAAATCTGTTCACCTTACCCCTATACACATAGCCATGGCCACCCAGTCACATGACCAGCTAGCCACGCCCACCCAGTCACATGACCAGATAGCCACGCCCACAAAATAAGCCACGCCCACAATATCCCTCTTTACCAATGTTAAAATCTGGTCACCTTAAGCTAACACCCCAGAAAACAAATTCAGGATCCAAAAAGATCTTGACAGACTTGAACAATGGACCAACATGAAATTTAATGTGGAGAAAAGCAAGGTTTTACACCTGGGCATAAAAACCAAAGGTACAACTACATTGTCAGGGTTCCAAGGAACAACCCCAATGAAATAAAACTGAGGTACCTCAAAGTTCCAATTTATTAGAGATGTCATGTTGGCACATCTGGGAAAACCCGAATCTGAAAGCTTCCAGGTTTTCCAGCTAACAGTTCACAGCCCTGCCCCACACCCACAAGTTCATAGTATAGTCCAATCAGCTCTTCACATTCAACTGGATACAATCTCCCTGCAGTCTCCAGCAGATGCAGGCAAAAATGTCCTCGAATACAGAATGTTGTTATGACTAACTTTCTACCAGTCCAACAAAAAAACCCTCCCAATTTCCCAAGCTAAAATATGTGGCAGTTAGGAAGCAAAAAGGAAAACTCTTCCAAAACTGACAGACAGATTAGGCAAAACCTGGCTCAAAAACAGTAACTGTGAGAGGGACCTTGGAGTCTTAGTGGACGATCATTTAAATCTGAATCAGTTGAGTGCAGTAGCAGACAAAAAAGCTAACACAATCCTTGGTTGTATAAACAGAAGCATAGAATCAAAATAATGTGAAGTATTAATAAAGCTTTATAAAGCCTTAGTAAGACCACACCTGGAATACTGCATCCAGTTTTGCATTACAAAAACATTACAAAAAAGATGTTGAGATTTTGGAAAAAGTGCAAAGAAGAGCAACTAAGATGATTAAAGGCCTGGAGACTAAAACATATGAAGAACGGATGCAGGATTTGGGTTTGGCTAGTCTAGAGAAAAGAAGGACTAAGGGTGACATGATACCAATATTCCAGTATTCGACTACGACAGTACTTTAGGCCTTGGCTCTCTGCATCAGTTTCATGGCAAAATGCTTTGGAAACGGAGAGGCCTTCCCTCCATTTGCAAAGCCTTTTGCTCTGTTCATAGAGAACAGAGGCCTAAAATACTTTTCATGCCGAGACTGGAAGCTTCTGGGGGCTGATCACAGTCCTAGAAGCTTCTGCGCATGCTCCAACATGGCGATGCCGGCCTGAGTCGCTGTCAGGACGGGCAGCATTTTGGGGGTTTCGGAGTCTCCTGGGGCTGTCAGTACCATCGGCAGCCCCACCCCCGCCCGGGAGAGTTTCCCCTCAACCCGTTGAGGGCTTTTTCGCCCTCCGGAATGCTTGGGTGAGGGGAAGGCAAAGAAGAACGCCGCGGGAGGCTGCAGGATGCCGCGAGGCGCGCCGCGAGGCGCCCCATGAGGAGGATTAGGGAAATTGGCTGCAGCGATGCCGGCTTCTTCCCCGCTCGCTGGTCGGCGGCTGTCAGAACAGCGGCGACGACGTGGCAGGACCAATGGTGCCGATGGTGGACTGAGGGCGTTCTGGCACTGGCGGTGGAGTTGCAGAGTTGCAGCGGCAATGGCAGCCGCTGCGCAGCGATTGGGAGGGGATGTTTAGCTGGATAAAAATGGCTGCGAAAAAGGGTGAGGTGGAGGTTGTTGGACATTCGATGCTGGCGGAGAGGCGAAGCGGAGGTCGCCAACGGAGGCATGATATGGCTCAAATGACGAGGGGATGGAAAGATCTGGGGTTGGAGAGTCCGGTGGATGGCTCTGGGATGGGGCCTCCATGGGTGGCCTCTCCTCCCCCTCCTCCCCCCCCCCCTTTCTGGCCCTGTTAATGGCCTGGGAGTCAGCCTTCCTCCCCCCCCCCACCCTCTCCTCTCCCTTGTGTATACATCTATCCTCCTACGGAATTACTGGGCAACTACTGGGCAGCTTTATTTGTACCCCGCTTCAAATCAAATCATATTAATTACTTCCATCGAAACTCCCGGCAGATGGGGACTTGGACAGTATTTTGTGGACCCTGAGGGAAGTTGGCTGTTTGAACCATCTTTTATCAGAAGGGATGATACCATCAAATTCCTTGCCTTTGGACATCTGTCCCCACTGTGAGAGGGTGGCTGGGAAAAACTTTTCTCCCGCTGACTGTATAAACCAACTCCTTCCGCTGCTGTGAGAGAGCAGGGGATTCCGGGTTGCTGCTTATAAAAAGACCTTCTGTCCTAGGACTCTGTGGACCCTACCAAACTGCCTTCCCATTCTGATTTTACTTGATGTACTCGGCGGCGGAGCTATGTGCACTGCGAGACTCCCCCCTCTCGCAGGTTTGGCCCTCCACTCTATCGAGGGCCTACCTTAATGACGGGCTTTGGAACCCCGAGAGGTGGCATGGTGCGAGAAGGGGGTTGAGGGGTTTTTTAGCTAAATTTTTAACCAAAATTTTAAGGGGACCCGGGAGGAAGGGAGGGGGTTGTAAAAGTGGACCCGGGGGGGTTCAGATAGCAACTGAGCGGGGTGATGGGTCGATTGGCTGCAACAG